ATATATATATATATATATGTGTGTGTGTATATATATATACATATATGTATATTGCATGGGACAAACTTGTGTTTGTTGGACATTTTATAATAAATGATAATTACATTAATGGAAAATGATGCCAACTGACACGACTTTCAAGAAAATTGTACTTTATATGTTTGTTTATGTATAAGATTTTTACCTCAAATTTATGTTGTGCCGAGCCTGAAAATTTTCAGTGGGACACTATACAAAATTTAGAGAGTTTTTTTTTATTAAATAGGAGCATGATTATATATTTCAGTTATTAAGTGGAGCATAATTAAAATTTATACCGTTCAATCTCTCACTCTTTTTTATTAGACTATAAATTTGGCATCTTGGTAGTTGCTATTTTTTTGTTATGGTATCTGTCTACAGATTATGGCCCTAGTAGCAGATTTTATGCTAGTATGGCTTCCTGCTCCAACTGTTTCTCTCCGGCCGCCACTTGCCGTCAGTGCCGGCTCTATCGCCAAGTTCTTCCATGGCTGCCCTGAAAATGCCTTTCAGGTTTTATAATTAATTGTTGTGATTAATTCTTAATACACATTTTGTTTCACCAATCATATGAAGTCTAAAATCAATTAGTCGGTACAAATTTAACTGTGCTATGTGCAGGTAGCTTTGGCTGGAACGTCTTATTCACTTTTACAGAGAATAGGTGCAATTGTGGTGCGTATATATAACTAATTATAGATTATCTATATATAAACATGTTTTAGTAGTAATGTTTAATAGATAATTGGGAGTTAAATAATCTTAATTAATCTGTTGTGCAGCGCAACTGGGCCAAACTGTTTGCAGTGGGGACTGGGGCATCTCTGGTAAGTACATTATCTTACGCTTTATAGTTTACTTTTTGGATCCATCCTCGGCAGGTCGCTCAATTGGTATGATTAGTTTTTTAACTGTTGAATCTGATTAAAATTAAATAAAATTAAAAAAATATACAAAATAAATAGTTTCTGATAGAGATTTAACAGTTAAAAACGGTTAAAAAAATAAAATT